TAGCTTTGGTACAGCCCTAGAGTTGGCACCCATATACCCATACTGGCCTCAGTACTTGCTTGTAGATGGATAATTTATTATGAATTGGTAAAGTTAATTGTGTGCAGATTTAGTCTCATTTAATTTTATTCGTCATTTTCTAGTCCAGTTATGTATTTTATTTACTGATAGTTGCAAACTTATCAGGTCGCTTCTTCTCTAGTGTCTCCTATCGCTAGTATGGCTGTATCGTCCGCGAAGGTAGGCACCATAGATCCTTCAATACCAGACTAGGGGAACATCTTAGATACGAGGTGTGGCAATAGTACAATTATTACAATTTAAATAAAAATATTTTATAGAAATGTTCATTACACCATAATAGATTGCTCAGACCGACAATCATTTCAAATAAAAAAAAAAAAATTCTCAGGCAATTTGTAAATTTGTTATATCTTTCAATTAAAGTACACTTGTTTGTATTTACTAAATAATCATTTTAATTTGTTCTGAAATATTTAGACTAAAATTGGTTAGTTATAACAATGATGTATTTCAATTTTTCACATTGTTACATAAAAAATTTTTGAATTTGAAACTTACTAATTAAAATTGTTAAAGTATGCCATATTAAACATCAATTTACTTTTGATTTCAAAATTAAAACAAATTTTGATATCATTCATTAATATCAACATACTCTATAATACTGAATAACTAAAACTTACAGTATTAGTAAGAGAAGAAGAACTGTCACACTTCAACCTACATATGTCAAATTTACCTCTTAAATCTAATAGATTAAATATGAAAAAAATCATTTCTTCCAACAAGTGAGATGTAGTGCTAACAGTTTCTTCCATCCCCAAGTTTTAGTTTTAAATTCAATGTTTGTCCCGTCATTTAGTGTTTCTGTTTCCTGTTAATGTGTGTTTAATTTGTCCCTAATCATTCTTAAGTTATAATAATTTTATATACTTTTTATATACCCTTTTAACATAGTTGACTTCACAATACTTTAATAATTTTGCCAATAGACTTGATAATTGCAAGTCAAAAATTGCACAACCACACAATCGGTACAGCTACTCTTATTCATTGTCATAAAACTGTCTCTTCATTACATAAATACTCAATAAATAACACACATTCCAAAAATATATCTCTGTTATAAGTGTAAATAATTTAATTAATACAATAGTAAAGAACATCACTTTCATCTGACAAACAACAACAATATACCTATCTCTAATTCATTGGATCTAAATCTGTTCTCCTCAAGAACTTCCTCGTTCATTGTCAAAACAACTGCAATAGCTCATTAAAGTTCTCCAATCAACAATACATGATTTTTGCAACCATGACCTACCATCCATCAATTAATGAGTACCGGCATGTAAGTAATGTTTGTTTTGTTTTGTTTTATTTATTTGCTCATTTATTAATTTATTACATCAAAAGATTGCTACTTTATACCAATTGTGGGCCTTACCTTGTCTGTTACTACCTTTTATATATTCAAATTATTCATTTTGAAAAACCACAGACATGTAATATTGGCATAATTACTATAATTTGTATGAACTAATTTATTTATTTGTTTATTTTATCTTTATGAGACACCACCCTAATTGGGTTTATTTTATTGCAGCATTAGTTTAACTTTGTATCTCGACCTGAAGATGCTTTGCAAATTATAGAAAGCGAAAACCGGTCGTCAGATTGTTAAATTAAATTGATTGTGAGTAAGTCTTATTATTATTTCTTTACCTATTTGATATGGACTCACACAAGCAACACATTCATGATTTCTAAAATATCTATTCGCAATGTATGATTTCAAGATTTTCTGAATACTGTTTAGGCGATGAACGTTCTCTTAGTTTATAGTTTAAGCCGTCATGCAGACTTATCAAACGCCTGTGCTACACCCAGGAAGATTGTAGAGCAGACTTTATTTTCTCCTAATGATTTTTCTAAAATATTCGTTATTCTGTGAACTTGATCTATAGTGGAATGATGATTTCTGAAACCAAATTGATGATTTGGTATAAGATTTTTTCTTTCTATTATTGGTTTTAATCTTTTCAACCGAGTTTTTCAAATAGTTTTTGACATCACTGGAAGGAGTGATATTGGTCGATAGGAGATTTTACTGGTTTGGCGATCATAATTACTTCGGCTACTTTCCAGAGTCTGGGAACATATCTCAATCATAATCTTATATCTCGTGGAGCTCTGTATTGCTGTCATTTTTTTTTAACTTTCCTTTTCCCAAGCTGCTGTTGGTTATTTTTTTATAAAAACATGCTGTACTGGAACATGCGATAAGAAAAGCTTCAACCACAACTGGACAAACGATTAGCCGCCCAAGAATCACAAATACTATTGGCGTTTGCAGATGACGTGGACACAATTGACAACCAGATATACAAAGAAGTTTTCACCCTATTCGAAACGGAGTCAAGGAAGTTGGTCTGAAGGTCAACGAGGACAAGAACAAGTACATGGTAGTTACGAAGAACCCAAGGGCAAGGGTTAGACAAAACGTAACAATCAATGAATACAACTTTGAACTCGTCAAATAATTTAAGTACCTGGGAGCGATCATAACATCTGAAAATAAATATGAAAAGGACCATTGCAGGAAACAGGGCGTATTACTCATTAATGACCGTACTAAATCAAAAATACTCTCAATACAGTAAAAATAAGAGTGTATAAGACAATAAATTGTCCCACAATAACGTATGGAAGCGAGACATGAACTCTGAACCAGTGGGAAACGACAAAATTACTGGTACTAGAAAGAAAGATAGTGCGGACTATCTATATGCCTTGCAGAGAAGAGATACAGGATAATGAAGAAGACACAATCATGAACTCCAGACAGTATATGGAGAGGAAAACATTAAAGAAACCGAATAAGAGGGGCCACGTGCTAAGACGTGCGAAGACTAACCCATTCTGGGAAAGACCGATGGCAGAAGGTCAGTTGGTCGCCCAAGAAAGAGATGGAAGGACGCAGTAGATATTGATCTACGCAAAATGGGGATACAGCAATGGGAAATAGCTGCTCAGGACCGACAACAATGGAGGGAAAATAGTAAATACGGTCAAGATTCACTGGAGTTGTAGAGCCAAATGATGATGATGATGATGATGAAGTTAGAGTTCTCTTACCCAGGAGTCCCACATGAAGAGCATTTGGCTGATAGTTGTGCCCCTCGCAGATCAGAGTGCTATAGGGGAAAGAGATGGTCTGGAGCATTGGAGCGAGGTACTCCTGTTCGAGTTAATACCCCTCCCTCCAATGAATTGTTACACCCAAACGTAATTCTTAGGGGTGAACATGTCTCACAGGCTGGGTTTACTGAAATTGCTTGCTTGCCTTCGTAATAGTGATCGTCAACGTCGGATAACTCTGATATGGCACGTGAAGAAGAAGATAGTCTCTTCATCTTATTGCGGCGTATCCTTTGGAAATTAGGCGAACCAATTTATTAATCAAATTTTAACCTGTAGTTACTGTTCGCTCATTTATTTATAAATAGCTTATACTATTTTATGTATTGAAAAATTTTTCTTGCAATATAGTTCTAAAATGTGAATTTTTACGCAATAATTGCTTCTTAATCACATATAGTTACTTTAATTACTGTTTCTTGTACCATTATTGCATCTTTTACATACCTTCTAATAAAATCTCGTAATATGAAATCATCTCCAAACATAATTACAAAACATATTGTTCTATAATAACATAGCCAATATTTAATTGTTACAAAATACCAGTATTAATAGTCGAGATTTCTTTCCAGTTTCCTCCTTCTATTAAAATGCGTTGCATGTATTGAATTTGTTAGATTTATCGTGGACGCTAGAGCTTCCCACGGACTTGTATTGTACCATTTGAATGGATGAAGACGTAGGTTTTATATTATTTGAATTTGAATGTCATGTAGATCTGCATAGACGCCTATTGATAGTTCTGCTTTAATACAACGTAATATTAGGTAAACGTCATAATTATTCATAGTTAATCAATAAAACAAGAATATTTCATATATAAATCAGAGAAACAAGGTAAAAGGTCTACGAAATGATAACGAAAAAAAGTTTTTAATAAACAATGCATTTTCCTGTCAAAATGTAGTTCCTCAGCGATCGTACAATCTTCAGCATCTTTAGTAAATTTAAACATCAAGATGAAAATAGCGCCATCGATAAAACAAAACTCTATAATTTGCTCTGTCAAAAAATCTCATTATTTGCCAATTCTAAATTGTCAAAATAACTGTCCAAACTAATGTAACTTTGGGAATTCAAACTAAGTGAAGTGAAAATGTTTCCAACAGAAAACGGACCAGGATCAAGTAATTGTTCAGTACGCTACAGTGCAGTTTCCAACTGTAATGCAGAATGAGCTTAAAAACCTAATAAATCCATATTACCAAGTAAGTTAAATTAATACCCAAGGTTCACCATTGTGCTCAAATCATCCAACAGTACACCAAATGATATCTTTTGATAATTATTAACAACAATATCCTGTGCAGCCAATAGTTGTCCAGCAAACCAACTTTTCTTATTTTACATCAAACTCTCAAGTTAACTTAAACTTAAAAAACAATGCAGAAACATTTAATGAATATAATTCGATGTCAAATGAAGAACATGAAAAATCTCAAAATAATAAACACCCATGGCAAACAATAAGATCAAAAAGAAAAATGCTTAAACGTCAAGATTCAAAAGAATAAGAAGCTCCAATTACACTTTTAAATAGGTTTTAGCCACTTCCACAGAAAAACTCCTTAAATGATACAAATAAAAATCCACCAATCACAAAACCCCATGAAAATTACCATGAAGAATAATAATAGTCATTTTTAGTAAACGTTTAAATGAGGAAGAGGAAAACTGATCTATAAGGTCATATTATTTACATAGATCCACATTTTCTAACGACTTATGTGATAATGAAATAAAAAGTATGAATATTTTAGTTTTTGGCTTACCCTCATTTCTGGAAACTGTCCCTGATACGTGTTTAATGGAAGTAATACTTGGTCCGCTAGTTTGTGACTGAAATCCTGCCATAACATATCAACAGATTGTGTCTGAACGTACAGCAGGTCGTGTCCAGTCCATTGGCTCTCGTAGATTTCCCCTATGGCGTCCAAGAGGGTTTTTGATGCCGCTTGGCACGCTGCAAAAAAGAACAAGATGTTAGTTTTATAATTCTTGTATACAATAATTCCATAAAACTATTATATAATTAACAAATGTTACCATTTTGACTGCCTGTGTCCGCGAAAAAAATCGGATTTTGCAAAATTGGCAGCAGATGTAGTCAAATTTAAACATAATAATCAACTGGATTCAAATAGACTATATTCTGGTAACAAGAGATTTAAGAATGGCTTCACCAGAGTAACGACATATCCTGGTGCAGATATCAGTTCAGACCATAACCCTGTAATAACTGACATCAAAGTGAAGCTCAAAAAGTCCAAGAAAGCCCAAAACACCAAAATTAAATATCTCAATATCCAACAAAACGTTAATAGAAAATGACTTAAACAATGAGCTAAAGAAATCAATAAATGAAAACAACACAGAAATATGGAACACATTTAAAGATCTTAACTTGAAAGTAATAGAAAAATATTCAACAACGTTACACAGGCACAAAAAACAATGGATGACTGATGAAATCCTGGAATTAATGGAGCAGAAAAGGAAACTGAAAGGTAACAAGACAGAATATAAGGAAAAACAAACTAATTAAACAAAAAATAAAGATGGCTAAAGAAAAATGATGGACGATAAATGCAAGGAATTAGAAAAGTTGAATGAAAAACATGATACGTTTAATATGTTTAAAAAGTTAGAGAAGTAGCTGGTCTTTATCATAAAAAACTCCACATACTATTACCGATTCGTCGGGAAAAATGATAATAGACGAACATGAAATTCGAACAACCTGGTGTAATTATATAAGTGAGCTGTATAATGATGATAGACCCGAAGAACCGGAGACTTAGTTGAAGGTGAAGGACCAGAAATACTAAAATCAGAAATACTGCATGTTATAAAGTTAGCAAAGAACAAGAAAGCCGTTGGCTCTGATAACATACCGACAGAGATGTTAAAGCTTATAAATGAGAAGAACATTGGAATACTGGTCAAACTTTTCAATGATGTTTATTCGATGGTGATTTCCCTGAAGATTGGTTAAAGTCCGTATTCATAACACTACCAAACAAACAACGTCCAAAAAACTGTAGCGATTATAGAATGATAAGCCTTATGAGCCACACTTTGAAAATATTTCTACGCATCATCCACAGTAGAATCAGAGATAAATGTGAAGAAGATCAGGATGAAACACAATTTGGCTTCAGAAATGAACTGGGAACTCGGGACGCCCTCTTTGCACTAAATGTATTATTGCAGAAATGTCGAGATCAAAGGAAAGACGTCTTTGCTGTATTTATTGACTATGAAAAGGCCTTTGATCGAGTACAGCATCACAAATTAATTACAATATTAAAAGATAAAGAAGTTGATAGTCAAGACATACGATTCATAGAAAAGTTATACTGGCGTCAAACAGTGACAGCTTGCATAAACGGAAAATCAACAGAAATATGTAAAATACAAAGAGGTGTTCAGACAGGGTTGTATCCCCATGCTCTGTCCCCACTGTTATTCAGATAGAATATTTAAAGAAGCGCTGCATAATTTGGAATGAGGCGTGAAAGTTAATGGACTTCTGATAAATACAATCAGTTATGCAGACGATACAAATATTTTAAGTGATGACATGAACGGATTACAATGCCTTTTAAATGCCATTGATACAGTGGGAAGAGAGTTTGGCGAGAGCAAATGCTGCTCGCGAGCTGCTTGATAATTTTTGCGAACTGCTGTATTTTGGAGACGTAGTAAGGGGAGACCGATATAATATTCTTCAACTTATTATGATGGGTAAAATCGAAGGACGCAGAGGAATTGGTAGAAAGCAGGCTCTTGGTTGAAGAATATCAGGGAGTGGACAGGAATAAATAAAGCTGAGCAACTATTTAGAAATTGCTCGAGACAGAGACAGTTTCGCCATGTTAATCGCCAACGTCAAGGGGACTTGATAGGGCACGTTAAGAAGAAGAATCAACTGGACTATTTTATCACAATATAAATACGAGTCCCTTCATATATCAGTTGGCCCACTTATGGAATTTGCAGTTTAAGTCGATTACTATAAACAAATTATACTCTGCAATTCACCTCGATAATCTTAAACGCTTGAAAGCAAATCTCAATTTTACCCAAGCTACTCTTACTACAGATCACTCTTATTCTTCCTATTAATTAGTATGTCACAAACAAAGCCAATTCTATACAGTCCAGCTATACCCAGCTAAACAATTACCCAAATCAGATTGCCAGTAAATGAAACATCAGGTACAAACGTCAATACGTCATCCCAAGACATGAAGTCGAAGGTGCCATCCTAAGAGAAACTCTGACCGTTGCATGTAATCAACTTGCCTTGACTGAGCTAGTCAATAACAACGATGAATACATCCAAGTAGCATTAACTGATCCCATCAAAAGTCAACCAATAAATAAATTTCGAAGAATATCATATATACACGTCAGATGACCATACCTACCGGACAGAAATCTAAGAGATGTCGATCCTCTCCTTAGAACAGAATAAGTATTTATTCGTTACCAGTTTCTTTCCCAAGAGTCGTTCTTCTTCTTAGAAATTTTCCTTCGTATGTACTTCAGCTTGTTTTTCTTTATATTTTCTTTTGTCTTGTGATGATTTGGAGCTTAAATATTGTTGGTATAGTTGTCTTTTACATTTTATTTCTTCCTCTATTTCGTTACCCCACCAGTATGGTTTGTTTATTTTTAGTTTTATGTAGTATCCCATTGCTTCAAATGCTGCTTCGTGTAAACAGTTTTTTATATGTTCATATAACTGGTCGATATTCTTAAATAAGTCTTGGGTACTTTCTTCATTCAAGCTTCTGATGTTGTATCTTCGTTCCTGTATCTTTTCTGTCTTGTTTACGTCTATATGTGTTTCTCGCTGTTGTCTTGGGATTGGGAAGTGTATTTTTGAACGTAATAACCTTCTAATACCTTTTATTTTCCTTGGAAGAAAAATCCTCGAATTTTGAAATTTTACTTATAGGCTACAGCTGGTATAAGGAAAAACCCTACTAAATTTGGGTCAATAGCTCTTCTTTTTCTTCTCAAACTTTTATACTTGTTCTTGAGAAAAGTCCTTAAAGTCTTGAAACTTGGTACACGCACATTTTAAACTCGCATTGTTCTTGGCTGTTATATTTTCTTTATATAGTAAATCAAGTTATAATTTAATAAAGTTATAATAATAGTTAACAAAATATTTCTTGATAGACGGGTTGTATGTACACATATCCCCGATAAATGTATTTATGCCTGCACAATATAACTTTCTCTCAAAGAGTGAATAATTAGCAATTAGCTTTCGGTTTGTCAAACCCTGATTTTTTCCATTAGGAATAAATTTGTGATTTATTACGAAAAGTATGTGGGTAGGTAACCTTTCACTTGCGTGTCATAAACGCTGAATAGATATTTGTAAGTGCAGCCGGTTCTATTATTAGTCGTTAATATGTATGATCGTAAATAAATTATTAAAAATAATTATTATTATAACATAAAACATAAAAAAACATGAGTCTCTTTCGAATTTCGACAGAGAAAACAATGGAATTTCCATCGAGTAATCGTCAATTCCATAAATAGTATAAAAACGTGTTTATTAAGCTGTTACACTTCTACTTCACTTGTACATACTATAAAATCACTTTTATTGAGACAACAAACAATATTACTACTACTAAAAACAAAAACTCAATTACTACTACTACTTGAACTCTCAACTTTTTGTTTATATACATTTTTTGACGTTTCATTCCTTACAAGACATTTTGGGATATTTCGATGACATCTAGGACATTCTAGATTTTAATATCTTTAATTTTTCGTCAAGGAATTCTTTCTATATGGAATAAATCTTACGGGAATGTCGTAACATTGAATTTATAGCTATTTTCCTTCCCCTCCTATACTTATATACTTAGCTCCTTTCTTTATATTTATTCGCCTCAAATAACTGGTCGATCAGGACTGACTTAAGCCAACGGGTGGATCAGTTCTATGTTATATAGCTAATCTCTCGATGTGAACTACCTTGCGTTTAATTTATTGTTGAAAACTGGATGCAGTAGATTAGATTGTTTATTTTCTGCAGGACGGTCTATGAACCCACCTCATTTTCGTTGAAGTTTTGAAAAAAGTCTTGTATAAATACATTGTACTTATAGCTCTTTCAAAAGTTGTCCCGGTAGCATGCATGTCGAGCCTCCTCCTCCTCTTCAGTCCTAAACCCTTTTGGGGTGTGATGACGCCATCGTGCCTTTACAGTTTTTTCACGATTTCCCTGTCATGAGCTAGTTGTTCGGCTTCATGTAACCCTTGGTTAATCAATATTTTTGTCTGATCTACCCAACGGCTTGGAGATCTTCCGCTAGGTCTCTTTCTTTCAACTCTACCCTTGACTATCAGTTTTTTCATCGTTGTTCTAGCAATGTGTCCAAAATACTGCAATATCTCAGTTGTATTTGTTTAAGCGATCTATCCTTTACTTTAAGTTGTTCTAGTATCGATACGTTAGTGCGATGATCAATCCAGTGATATTTTCAACATGCGGCGGTATTCCACATTTCAAATGCGTCCAGTTTATTTTTATCCGCTTTCTTTAAGGCCCCACGTGTTCGGGGGCCTTAAAGAAAGCGCCTTTCGGTGCTCGTTTCATTTATAATATGTTGGATTTATCAATTTGATGGTTCAAACTTTTATGAGAAAATTCGTAGACTTTATCCAATTTTTCTATGAAATTTTCGATGAATATTCTTCTTAGCAGGAAGGCAATCTTCCAAAAATAAGATTTTGGGGAAGCCTCTCTTCGCTGATCATCATCGATGGATGACGATCATCCGAGACTGGGGTTTTAGAAGAATTAGGTCTCAGAAAATTGTGCAGGTAGTACGAAGTGATTGTGTTTAGCGTAGTTTTGAATTTCTCTTCTACTTCTTCAATTCAAAGCTTTTTCCTTGAGCACATATTCCAAGGTCGTCATCA